TCCGCTATGGTCTTCAAAGATGAGGGCGATGTCATCTGCTTACTCCAAATCCACAAGGATCTCACCAGCAACAATTTGAACGCCAGGGTTTTGAAAACCGTCCAGTGTTCGCCTTCGCTTCTCTGAAATCTCCATTCGATCGGTCTTATTGTATTCACCTCCATTTGCTTGTGGACTTTCCCCAATGTATTCGTCTTTTTAAGACATTGTGCCACTGTCCGTCTAGGAAAGGTGGGCTAGACTGGGAAAAATGCAACTTCCAGATCGATGAACTGTTGCAGATTTCTCTCCATGCGTTACTATAGGTTAGAAATGGTTGAGTGCGTAGAAAGAATTCGTTTGCGTCTACAATGCTTGTGTGATATCTCTATTTTAGATATTCGGTCATCTAAGTGCTCGGAAGTGACAAACGCATGGCCATTGTTGAATTTTCATACAAGGTTAGTAGCAGTCACACAGTGCAGTGCATCAGTGAAGTGGATTTGAGTTTTCAATTATCCGTTGCATTTTGTCCTCGTGATATACCTCCCAATTTTTCACTATCGGTTGTAAATTATCCGTTGCATTTTGTCCTCGTGATATACCTCCCAATTTTTCACTAGAAATTCGGTTGTAATATGCCCGCTTTTTTTGAGGAAACTGTTCTGGGCACGTGTTCATTAGTTCCGGGGCTATTTAACACCATTCATTTTTTCGTACCAGTGTGACCTTGAATTCAGTTTCTCATTGGCCGTTTGAAGTAATGTACCAAGTAAATGACAGAAACGATGTGCTTATCAAGATTGACCCGATAGAGGGTATTCGGCTTGAGATGAATTAACCCTTTCTTTTGTTTCTGTTCAAGGCCTTATTGATTAGGATAACAAAGGGGTTATGTGTCCCAAATAACTAAAAGCGCGACCCGACAAGTGATCGACTGAGAAAAACTCAACCTTTGGATAATGACAACCGCAAACGCAGTGCACTCTATTGGTCGAAATAAATCAAATATTACTTGCAGAACGAAAGAGGAGCATGGTCAGGCTTTATCGCAAATGAATTCTGAAAGAGTAACTGGGGCAAATGGTGAGCAACTCGGCAGTTGAGAGCTTTGGCAGCCACGGATTAAGGCGACGTTTTATCCAGCCGAATATTTGAGTTTTAAAAAGGATCAGTACATTCATACTTTGTGTAGCCTCGAGGCAATTAACCGGGCCAGCTATAGAGAGTGCTGGAAACATAATAATACTGTCTACATGTCATAGTACTGAAAAGGTCGACAAATAAACTCATTTGTTTTTCATAGGAGAGTCATCTGGAACCCAGGTAAATCTCTCGGTTGTGATGTTCAGTCAATTATCCCGCTAAAGGCCGCCCCATGTTTCAGTTAATACGATATTCGCGTATAGACGCACCACACTACTCATAAAGTTGCTCAAGAGTTTTAAACAGCCTTATGAGCAGTTATTATTACCGATCTTCGTAAAATTTAATTTTGGTTTGGTCATAACTTGTCGCCATCCTTATCGCCATCCCTAGGAGCGGCATGTTACATCTATACTAAAGCAGTTATTATTACCAATCTTCGTAAAATATTATTTTGGTTTGGTCGGTACTATAACTTGTCAGTACAAGTTCACCATCCTTATCGTCATCATCAAATTTATCATCATCGCCCCTTTCCGTTCTGTGCTGCCCGAAACATGTGGCAAAAATTTACCGCAATTATTTTCAAAGTCCCAAAACTCCCCCTCGCCTGCTCTGTGAACTTCATGAATCATCTGGACGGGGAGTTAAGTTTGAAATCTGTTTTTCAGCCCGGCAACAGACGATCAGCAGCCTGATCAACTTTGGCTAACTCATGAATCAAGCTGAGCTCATCTCAACTGGTTTATTGGTTATTGCCGTCCCGAAGAGCGCCTCGCCTTTCTCCGGAGGTTGAGCCTATTTTACAATCAAATTCAGATAGACTGCATGTCTTTGTTAATAGTCAACCAACTACATAGTGAAGATTTCCCGCAGCCCTCCCAAAGGCTTAATGGTACAATAATACCTGTGAATCAGTCATATAGAGGCTGTGCGAGGTGAAAATTTTACAGTAATAATAATCTTCCCTTACTTCACATGTCTGAGGGATCCGGGGGGGGGGGGGTTATTGCGGAATCACCTATCGCAAGGAAGTGGTTAGACCGCGGTTAGCCACGTGTGTGATCCGCTTCAATCTATTCTGTAATATACGCGAATTTATATTAATCGGAAAGTGAACTTTATTGAGATGGGGTCTAGTTAGTGTTTGGGATATTACTGTGCGTTATTCAAATTACTTCTCTTCATTAGTGAATTTATATTAATCGGAAAGTGAACTTTATTGAGGTGGGGTCTAGTTAGTTTTTGGGATATTACTGTACGTTATTCAAATTACTTCTCGTCATTATTGCTTTGTTCGTTGCAGGAATCCACCGAAATCTCAAGCGGTCGTCACTCCTAGCAAGTTAACTGACCCACTTGAAAATTCGATCCAAAGCCTTCCCGGTAAGTTCGTGACTTAAAACGCCGTTCTGATGGTTGCTTTCCCAGTGGCTTATGCATTCATTGAAGCAGTCGTTTCATTTCGGTCGAGACTAGAATAAAACTCATCTCCGAGATACTGTAGTCGGGATATCGCAGTGTATTTTCATAAGGTGTCGTCGGCGTGTTTTCAGCAACCTTGTGAATGGTTTCCTCTAGGAAAGTATACTGCGATATCTGGAATATCGTGCCAACTGAATCATGAGGCGGAACATTCAGTTGTAGAATATAATAAACGAGAGATTCAGTTGAGTCTCTCGTTAAAATCAAATTGATTTGCAAATGAGTGTATTTCTCGAAAGCAGTACGATTTGGGTTCAAGTAGAACATAAAGTTGACGGAAACTCGGGGACTGCGCCTACCTGATGAGCCCGAATTGGAAGGGCGAAAGCAGTCGTGGGCTGTCGAAGAGCTTTCGGCAACCTTGTGAGTAATCTCCTTTACGAAATTTATCTTCATTTATCTTTTCAGGGCAGCAATTTATTAGTTCTTTCGGCCTGCGTTTTGTCAAGAACTAGAATACTTTCATTCATTTTATTTCTCTATTTGATTTGTAAACCCCAGCTTTTTCCAAGGGTGGGGTTTCCAAAACGTGAAAGTCTAACGCTCGAGAAACTTCTTACATCAAAGTTTCCGGTGGAGTACGACAAATTCTAGTTGGCCAAATCCCAGATGGCTTAACTTCATGTTTAAACGTACAGAGAGAAGTCTAAGTGGTGAGATAGATCATCTCCTAGATAGAATTACAGAATTCACCTCAACAAGAGGATAATTCCGAGGGGAAGAACGTGTGGACTAGTCCGAGGGCAGTTTTTTCATTGGTAAAATATACGATGACGGGAAAGCTTACTGGGAAACCTCGGGAGAAGTGGCCCGGGTTCCAATGACCTTCTCATGAAAAATCCTCAAAATAGCGCGTCTGAAAACACTTTTGAATCCCTAGAATGGTATTTCGTCCATGGAAATATTTGCACGTAAATCCTGACTCTTCCTAAGCCCTTAGTTGACCACTTGCAACGGGTAATTTTTTGACTCCAACGGGCTGCTTGGCAGTGATGTCGGATATTCTTACACTGTTGTTTCATACCGCTATCTTTATATATATGCATATATATGGTAAGTATCCGATAAAACACGTAATAAGAATATTCATGCTCAAAACCTACCTGACTGAAATGCTACAAGTGCAGCCAATACACGGATGCTTGATATATAAAAGTAGAGCAGGGAGTGGTGGAGAGTGACGGAAGGTTATTTGCCTTGTGGTTGAAACCAGTGGTACACAACACAAGTGAAGCTTTTATCTGAGACGTCATCATTCTGTAAGCCAGTCGATAATTGATCACTTGATGTGAATCCCGTGATTGAAGGGTGAGCGGGGCTGTATCCTGTTTAGGCTCGAGCTACTTAATTGGCCTCTAGGATTTTCAGCACAGACTGACTAAATCTACAGAATGGAATCTCGATTAAAAATCACCAAATCCGCCCATACTGACCTCAGAAGTTTCCTTCTCATCCTCCACCTGTGTGCAGATAATTTAGTCAATAACATGTGAGTTGTGTTCACTATTCCTTCACAGTCCATCATGCTTCTCTACTCAGCTTACCAGTTCACCTGTCCGAGAAGATATCAGCCCTTACAACAATAGCAGGGCATACTATGTATACTACGAAACTCTTGCCACATATAGAGGAGACTATTGATAACAAAGATGGTGTAGATACTCTCTGGTTTGCTACCGGAGCTGGGCGATTTGCCTGCACATGTTTCGTCAACAATCGAAGTGCTATCATCAGTGCGTTGTTTCGGTGCGCAGCGCGATTGGCTGCGGTTAAATTAGTTAGTTTTTTAGTTGGGCGGCTCTACTGATTACCTTGTGTCCTGATCGATCGATGGCCACGTAACCTTGGAGCTTGGCCTTTCCTGTTCACCTGCCGTAGCACGTGACGTTTGTTGATCCGACCACAAGAAGTTCCTTGTTTCTTGGTTTGTGAATCCAATAGCCATCTCTTCTTGAGTATTCCCGTTGAGATGCTCAAGCACACTCGATACACGACAACAAACATTTATTTGTTCAGAACTGAAAAGGAACCACAGACGTGAAAGAGAAGGTATATATAAGACTCCTACTAAACAAAAAAGCTGGTACACATTTTGCTTGTCCAACACAAGCAATGGTTTTCAAACAGAATCGAGTCCAGTTGAAGGGCAAATGTGTGGTGTTCTTCAGAAATGAAATGGAATTCTAAAGCTGAAATCTCGATGGCTGCTTGGTTGCTACAGCAAACATTTTGGCTTCTTTCTTGAACGCAACGGTGTTCTCATTTCGAAGCGTCCAACTCTCAAGGCCAACTCGGTACAACCAGTAGTTTGCTTCTGTTTGATTATTGCCTGACTTCGACCTGGATAAGCAAGGTGATTAGGTTGGTAACTACTTCATTGGGCAAACAGAGCGTATTACTCGAATATCGTAGCTACTGAAACATGAGGCGGCCTGGTGCAGCACATTCAGTTGCCTGAGAACATCACAAACGAAAGATTCAGCTGGGTTCCAGGTGAGTCTCTGGGAAAAAAATTAGTTCGCAGATGAGTGTATATTCGCTAATTTCGTTCAATTTGGTTTCAAGTAGAACATAAGATTGACGGAAACTCGGGGACTGTGTCTACCTGATGAGCCCCAAAAAGGGCGAAACCGGTCGTGGGCTGTCGATGGATTTTCAGCTACCTTGTGAGTAGTACGTTACAAAGATAGAGCGTATTACTATTCGACCATTTGATCGGTCTGTCATTCGCATCCTAACTAAGAGCTCTCGAGACTAAGCTGTGAACTGTTGGGCTGTCGATGGATTTTCAGCAACCTTGTGAGTAGTACGTTACAAAGATAGAGCGTATTACTATTCGACCATTTGATCGGTCTGTCATTCGCCTCCTAACTAAGAGCTCTCGAGACTAAGCTGTGAACTGTGACGTAAGTACGAACTTCTCAGACTACACTCTTCCTATTGCAACTATCTGCCAAGATCAAGCTAGAACAACAGAGTTTCAATCCCTCGCCCCCCCGGTGACTTCAAAATCCAACACATCTCACGGAACATTTTCTGGTCGGAAACCGCATCGGCATAGTTCTTATTGGGGTAAATGCCCTTCAGTACGATCAATCGCTCATTCGTTTCGACCCCTGCATCCCTTCCTATTTTGTACTCCATTTCCTTCGTACCTGCCCGTGGAGTTGTGATGAGAACCTGTCTCAGCCAGTATGGCGGTATTCACCAAGACAGTAAACGTTGAGACAAAAGTTTGGATAGTCGGTCGGTCGCTGCCGCTATTTTGATGGACCTCGATCTTAAAAAGGTTTCCAGTAGGAGATCTAATTTCCGAGTAGCGTGATGTTACATCATGGCGAGAATGTCTTTAAATATTGTGAAGCTCTCCTTAATTTGGGTCTATTATTCTCGTTGGGCAAGCTCTGGTTCTAGTCCTCGGACCTGAGAAAAAGATACTGCCATTCTAGACAAAGGCGTTCACATAACTGCTCAAACCCAGAGAATTCAGGTTTGAGTAACCAAACCTGTTGAGGTCCGCACTGGTGACTTAAAGTTCAACCGGTTGGCTTCAATGACCACGGAAATGTAGTCAGGGAAATAAGACAATCCTGAAACCAGAATATGGGTCGGTGAAGGCAGTCGATCGGCACTTGTTCAAGAAGCTAAGCCTGAACAACAGATGTGAAAAATCGCTACAGTTAGTGAAATGGGCGCATAAACGCTCTCTTTCCATTTGATCTGTTACGAAAGTGCCCGACATAGTCAGCGCGAACCGGATGAGCACCTTCCAGTTGCTTGGCACCACGGTTCGGTTCTCAAATCAGTCAACATTACCATAGCTTTTACAGATGCTTTGCATTTGTACGATGTGAAAAGCAAAAGTTCAATGGATACCATCGCCTGGATTTGCTTCCCTTTTGGAAGTTTGTGCCCAATGGAAACCGTCTAAAAATTTCTCATCCAAAATGCTGACAAAACNACCGTCTAAAAATTTCTCATCCAAAATGTTGACAAAACACTCTTTCCCACCGATTTCTCAACACACCAGTGACTGAATTTCTTCTACGGCTACGTGGGCTGTGGCTCAGTGACACGATGTTGTAAGTATGTGGAAGATCTTAGTTAAAGTGTGGTGCGAGTGATTAATTGCTGATTTGTAGAAAGGCTGGCTCTTAACATGCTGTCTGAATTCACATCTCATTGACTTTGTCTGAAACCGAGATCCCTGATGGGTCCACTCCATTGATCGCTCAGGCTCACCTGAATTGTAGTAGCGGGTTTTGATGTGTACCGTAAATCAGTGCTCAGAAATCTGTAAACAAGTTACCCCTTATACCCATGCTTCTTGAAGTTGTGCCCCAAAATCCACTGTGTGGGGGGCGCGCATAGCAATCATTTTTGACTACCTATCCCAAATCAGTAGCTAAAACGAATCGCTGAAAAACCACGCTGGATAAACACGAATTGAGGTAGTGCAACTTCCCCTACAATATCTATCCATGTATTCTAAACGATGGTCGTTAAGTGGAGGTAATCGGCTAGAAAGTGTAATCAAGTATCACCACGAAGCAAATTACTCAGGTCAGATCGTGTTTTTAATTGACCGAGGATATGCTTCTCTCTGCTACCTAAATGTGTCATCTGTGTAGGATGGCAAGGCCGCTGACTAGAACACTTGGATCATCAGTTTTAAGAGAAGTTTTTGCGGAGAATGGCCGTCACGAACGTTCTACCTTTGAAGCTATCTCGATTCGGATTTATCCGTCAACAAAGGTCAAAACGCTGGGCTCCATGGGTTTTTGAGCTGAACTGAGTGACGTGATATTCGAAAGACCTTGGGGAAAACGTAGACCCTAGGAAATAAGATCAATAGGTGAATGTGGAGAAACCTGTTGAAGAACATCAACCGTTCTAAGTATGCTGGTATAACAGTGGACATCGGCACTTGCAACAGTTTATCATCTGGGCGTAAACTGTCAATACCCTTAGGTTTCCAGGCCCCTTCAGTTTCAGCATACTACCTCTCCTAATCCTGTAAGGAACCATACGGATGTTGCCGAAAGCCTTTCAGTGAGCACTCCGCTGAGTTGGTAATGTAATTTGTCGAAATTCATTCAATCATATCACTATGATGTGGCCAGCTTTAGGACTACGGCATCCGGAATTTATTCATTAGAAAACTTTGCTTCGGATCCAGGCTTTACCCCTTGCAGATAGACCGATGAGTACACCGTTGACCCAAAAAGCCTATCTTACTAGACTACGTATGTCCTTGAGTTGTTTAAGTCCACACTGTCGGGTCTACACTTTGGGCAGTGCGCTCGTTCCGAAAACAACTGAATGGAAAAAACAATGACTATGGGATTAAAATACAAGCACTTTTAACCGTTGTCCAGACCATTTAGAATACCGCTATCGTGATATTTATGCAAATTTGGACCCCTCTTTATTATTCTTCTGTGGTTCCCGCCTTACATGACGATACTTACACTTGTTTGTAGATGCTAACTCATCGTCCACCGAAAGCCATCTGGAGGACGTGGCTCCGTTTCGAAAGCCGGATCATCAAACATGTTTAAAGCCCAATGGACAACCCAACGGAGGGCTATTCTTTTCAATATCGCCAGGTACGTAGCACCTCTTTTTCAGAGTTGCCAAGCTTCAGCTCTAGGTGCCAGAATCCAAATTCTATGTGGCTGTTTTACTCCGAAAGTCATCCCTGAACGATTGTGGGTAGAAGTCTCTCTTGAAAAAATCTTTCCTTCTGAGGAGATGACTCAGTAGTTAGAGCGCGAATTTACTAACTATAAGGTCCATGGTTCGAACCCGACCTCTGTATCTCGACTTCTCCTGTCTAAGCTTGGGTAACCTGGCAGTATCCCATCACCCATGCCTCCTTCGGATGGCATGGCAGGTAGGCATTGAAAAGATGTTACGGCTAACCGATTATCTTTCATCATTCTGATGTCGTACTTTTCTTCGCACTGGAAAATAAAGTAGTAAGCACACAGTCAAACTGAAGAGGCATTTGTCTCATAACGGACGATTCACTATCTGACATGGAGAAACATGTGTTTTGACCCCATGATGAGTGTTGTTTCTCTTGGGCTTACTCACTAGGTGGTGTTACAGTATCCGACGTCCTTTACCTAGCTGGCCTCATCTTCATTTGCAAAGGCTGGCCTGGATAGCCACTGACTCAAAAAGTGTCATGAAGCACCACTAGGTTTCCTAGAACCTGGAACATGAAACGGTGCTTTATCACTAAACGTTATGTGTTACTAATGCCAGGTAAAACAAATGTAACAGTAGAGTTTATGTAGAGATGTTTATGAAGGAAACAATGGTTGCGTAGATGAGAATGTTACGCGTGGTTCTAGTAGCTGGCAGGATGAGTTCTGGTGTAAATCATTTTAGCAAGAATAAACAAGTTCAAATAATTGGAATGTGTTCGAGAGACAGTTTTTTCGAAGCATTCTCAAAAGTACAGATAGCATCTCCTCCAAATGACCTTGTAAACGCTTCATTTCCAATTATGACCTTGATGTTTTGTCTGCATCACCACAATGTCAGACTATTCTTCATTCCATAGCACACACTGCCATCCAACGACCGTCATCATTTCCGAGGTGGTAAGAGAACGGAAGTAGCGAGATTTGAATTGGAATCACAAAGAAGTGTTCCCGAAACATCTAGAAACTCACAGAATTCTGGCAGGTAGCAGATCCTGGTGAATTTAGAAATTAACTATGAGCGCAAGGAGTAGCTAGCCAGAGGGACTGTGAAACTAACTCAAACTACGCTCCTCTCCATAGCAGTTAGACAAGCATTTTAGTGATCATATTACTTCTCGGAAATCCTACAGGAGTAAAGTACGGTTACTGGGGAAAACCACGTGGATCAAGAACTTCACTGGTGGGATTTAGTGAGGAAGACTATGCTCCCAGTCCAGAATGAGACTTTTGAAATGTCAAGTAACGTGCTTGTTCAACCCGCTTGCTAGTTCTAAATGAACGCCTGAACCGTAAAGTTGATATCATACTTTCACCGGTAGGATAAATTAGGCATAGATAGTCAATGACCTATGGAACTGAAAGTAAAAGACTATGCTAACGTCTATTACAGTTGCACGTTATGTGTTACTAATGCCGGGTAAAACAAATGTGACAGTAGAGTTTATGTAGAGATGTGTATGAAGAAAACAAAGAAAGTGCAGCAGTTATGTTTACGTC